ATGGAATTTCAAACTTAGATCTGGGACTGCCTTTTTCTCTAGCCAGTTGTTCAGTAGCTGCCTGACATAGAATGGAATCATTTTCAAGTGAAGTTGTCTGCTGTTTAGGATGTCAGAGATTGCCAGGTTCTCCTGGATAATTAAAGGGAAAGGTGGTATGGACATATCAGGAATGTGTGATGCACTTGCAACCAGTCCTCGTATCCTCTTGCCAGACTGGTCCAAATACTCCCTTTCCTCTGTGCTAAATTCCCAGTCCCTTCTTGCTGTGTTAGCCGTGGTCATCTTTTCCAGATAACCCTAGACCCTATTTCAAGCCTTGTGTCTTTTTGCTATTTGTGCCTCCTTCTCCGTGTGTTTGTTTCCTTCCTCCTACCTGTTTTACTTTTTCAAGATACAGTTCTATTTCAGATACTTGTCAACACAGACCTCTGTGGGAAACATAGTTTCAGTGAAGGGAAAATGGAGTGAAAAAGTTGTGGAATCATGTCTTGTTCCAGATAATTTGAATTTAATGTACAAATTACCAGATGGCCAGAGTAGGTGTCTCGCTTATTAAATAAAAATGTTTTTGAGTTAAAAGAAGCACAAGTCAGACTTCTAAAAGCATAAGTAAAGTAAGAGTTTTAAAGTACTTGGAATATTGAAATATTTTACAGCATCAGTTTGTACCCTCCTCACTTTCTTTTCCAAACCTTTAGATTTATTTAATGAAACTCCAGCTGCTATAGAGAATATAGTTGAAAAGTCTATTTGTACGTGTAAAAAAGTTTTTGACCACTGAATCTAATGACGACATCAATATGTTTTTATTTATAGCATTTATGTGATTGTTTTCTTGCAGAAAAAAGACTTCTGAAATAGGGACCCGATACCAGTAAATGACAGCTACATTTATTGCTTCAAAGCATGTATGCTTTTCTTGAGGTTTAAGGTTTAATTTCTATAAGGAGCTTTGATACTATATCACTTGCTTGGATTTTTTATTTTCTTTTACTCACTAACCAGTTGTCTTTTATAGACATGGTTTATAGGTACAATACAAGCACATATCCTTAGATATGAAACAACAGCAGCGATGGAGATGTTGGAAATTATGACTGTTAAAAAAAACAATCAGGTTCAGTGCTGGTGTTTAAGCTTTTAAAAATTTTCTTTTTCTTCATAAAGATAAGTCATACACATTTGGTCTGTCATTACAAATCAGTGTTCTCATGGCAAAACTGATAAATAATCACAGAATGGTTGAGGTGGGAGGTCCAAGAAGGGACCTCTGGAGATCATCTAATTCAACCTCTCAGCTCACAGCAGGGCCAACTAGAGCCAGTTGTTCAGGACTGCATCCAGCTAGGTTTTGAACGCTTCCAAGGATGGAGAATCCACAACCTGCCTGGACAAGCTGTTCCAGTGTTTGATCACCCCTAAAGTAAAAATGGTTTGTTTTCCTATGTACCAGTTCATGAGGTTATTCTCTCCCTGGTGCAGGACTTGAGATTTCCCTTTGCTGAAATTCATGAGATTCCTGTTGGCCCATTTCTCCTGCCTGTTGGTGTTACTGAGTGGTTACACAGCCATCTGGCGTATCAGCTTGTCCTTCCAGTTCTGTACCAGCGATGGCTTTTTTGATAGTGGTGGTTTCAGTACCTGTAGCTCAAGTATAAGAGCTGTTCATGTGGTGGATCGTGCTTTAAAAATGCGTTTTTTCAGCTGGTTCTAAGTCTGTGGCGTTACAATGCAGATAGTTTTTACTCTTCAGAGGTGTAAGTCTTGATCTGTTTTACATTCCAGTTGATTAGCAGGTATGTTACCATCATTTTTTGTCTTTAGTCAGTAAGCTTGAATCATTTTATATCAGATGCGTAATGGATTGAAGCAAAAAGTGAGGCCAGCCACTAGGAAACCTGGCAGTGGTTCCAGCGTGATTGTGCAAATTGCACAGCATTTTCCCCAGTGTCGTCATTGCTAGTAATGCAGGATGGCACGGAGTGTGGAAGGCTAGGCTGTAGATGTTTCAGATAACGCTTTTTAGCAGTGACTTCTGGCAAAGATGTTATACTGTGAGCTACGGTGGTATAGATATAGTGAGATAGTGGTATAGAAATGCAGCAAATTTAGCCACCTGTGCAATAGCCAGTGGCCTGTGGCAAAGGAGGATGGTGGACTGAGGGCAATAATATCTTAAACTGCTGCAGCTAAATCTGCCAACGTTCATCTCTGATGCCTAAGTCCCGTCTTCTTGACAGGCATGTTGGCACTAGAATGATAAGGCTCATTTTATGTCCATGTAGTCATCTTAAATGCATTCCCTTTACGCTTCTAGTGCTTCCTAGGTCTGCTCTGTCTTACTGAAAAGCAGTGTAGCAGAAACACTGGGTTCCAAGCCTTGACATTTCTATATGCTTCTTAGCTATTTATTTCTTATCTCAGGGTTGTTGAATCACCAAAAACGGCAGGTAAACTCCCTCCTCTTTCCAAAGAAAAAGAAATGGAAATGCATCTGTGAGGGTTGCATAGTTTGAGTTATTGGTGTGACACTAGAGTAGTTGTCAGAGGGTGGCAACCTCCAGCAGAAGTCAGTGCTGGAATTTGGTAGTTGTATCCAGCAAGCACATTTTCAGAGTCTATTTCAAATCCAACTCTTTCGTTAGGTACACCTCTAACAATAAAAAGGATAATTTCATAGACTCCCCTGCATCAAGGAAACATGTATTTTGCCACAGTAGTAATAAAATTTTTCTTCTAAGACTTAGTGATTATTCTGCAACCTTCTAAGACTTTCCTCCCTCCATACCACTTTCAAGCCCTATATTTAGACATCCTGCACAATAGCAGAGCTCTGCATGTAGTGCTGCTCTTATTACTGCACTGTGCTGTGTCATCACTGAACAAATTTTATCATCAGAGTGAAATCCTTAGGCATCTTATAGCATTGTAGGAGGTTTTCATGGACAATGGTACAAGTGCCGACACTTAAAATATATGTGATGACAATGGAATAGTATTTTAGTGCATGGCTTAATTTTGCATTAAAGTTGGCAGCAGTACTTTCAATTTTGTCTTTACAAAGACAAGGGTAAAGGTTCGTTTATGAAACTTTGGAGTATATAGGTGCTTTGGAGTGCCTATGGAGTATAAATGTGCTGGGAAGCAGAAGTATGATATGTTACATAGACAAGTTTGAGACATTCCGTCACCTCTCCTCAGAAATGCACAGCTTTCTATTGTTATGTGCTGAAACTATCTACACAGGAAAGCTAATAAACTGTAATCTCTATGTTTACTGTGTGTAACTGTCTAGTATTAGTGTGCCATGTTACCAGTCTTAACATAGATTAAACGTAAGATAGTTCATTTCGTTGAAAGAGGAATGAACTCCACTAGACAGTTTAGACAAAGTTTTCCAAATGTTATTAATTATTCTTCAAAGGTATGATGAGCTCATGCTTACAGGTGCTAGCAGGGAGCCTCTCAGTAGTTCGTTTTGCAAATTGACACATTGTGCTTGCTGCTCACAGCCTTCCCTATGTAGACTGTCTCAAAGGCCTTAGATTTTCCAGGTAGTCTTTAGAGATTTGCCTTCTTTCTCAAAAGAATTTTCTTTGAAATCCAAACATGCCAAGAAATGGAAGTGATCATTTAGAACACTATAATTTCTGTATCTATGTCTTAGTTGTCACTGTTTGTGAAAAAGTTACATAAGATGCCTTTAAAGTTCACCGAAATCTCCTTCATCATAAGCACATGGTTATTGAATATTTTGGGTTGTACTCTAACTGCTATTTCCCATACTTAACTGTATTTGCAGTTCATTTAGCTGGAATGTTAATCTGTATTTTTCTGGTGTCAGAATTCTTGTTGGAATTTTTGCCATCTCAATATATTGTACTGCAAAATATTTCATTTGGGATTATATAGCAAATGTGGTGCTTTTGAGCATTATAAAACATTATAAAAGCGTATTTATATACTTCTTCCACTGCACCCACATAAATCGGTTAAATGCAAAAAAGCTGCATCTGAGACCATGACTGAGAGTTACTGGTTTCTAATGTAGTGAGATTTGATGACTAATACTGATCACAGTATAGCAGTCTATAGGTATCTGTTACAAAGATAAATTTCCTAGAAGAGAGAAAAATAACTACAGGGAGCTTATTTTGTGATCTTTCAAATATTATGTCTTATATTGTAATGTTCACTTTCAAATGACGTTTCGACACCTGTTACATTCATAAAAACGAAGAGTTTAACAGCTTTTTTTTAGTTGAGACCATGTACGTGTTCTTGCTGGTAGAAGTGTAAAAATAGCTTCTATGTCTGGTGTTAGGATGAGTGCATTGTAAAC